TGCGAAAAGATTGAAGTTTTACACTTTGATCCAAAAGAAATAATTGCTAAAAGAGACAAATACGTGCATGCAAAACTATCCAAGTTTGTAATTGGCCAGCATGCATGCACTCATGTATACTCCGTAAGTCCGTATTTGCGCATCCAATGGTGACTCAACGAGCCAAGGCCCTTGTTAGCTATCAGCGATCAATAAAGCCAAAAAAAGATAAAGCCTCCCGTCCCGTGCAACCGTGAGGGAAGACTCGCATGCAGACCGCCAGGCTTGGCTCGGAGGAGACGCACGCACACGCGCCGCCAGGCTCCACGCCGAGGCTCCCCTCAACCCGCACGTCACGGCGCCATGTGTGTGGACGCAAAGCCGAGACCTCCTCAACGCCGTGGGCTAATCGGCCGGCGAGACTAACCAAAATATGGTATATGGTGCTGTACTTTTTTGCGAGTATATTTGTATGGTTTTACACGCACAGACTTACTTAATGAACAAAATATTAGGGCATACACATATATGCGCATCATCCATTAAACATCCCAAAAATATGGGTGAACTAGTTGCTTTTTTACTGCATCCAGGATAGTTACACAATGGACTAAGGGCAAAATGGTCTTTTCACTTCACACTTGAACCATTTGGTGTCTAAAATGGACGAAAGTGTTAAATAAGGAACAAAATTTACTTTAGGTTTCAAATAGGGAACTTTTTTATTTTGGGCCAAATAGGGAAGCAAATTTTAAGAAAGGGCCAAATAAGGAATTCTCTCAAAAAATATTGGGCGAAAGAAGTACCGGAGGGGGGCCAACCACCGTCCACGAGGGTGGGGGGCGCGCCCCCCTGCCTCGTGGGCCCCCTGGTGGCCCTCCGATGCCCATCTTTGGCTATGAAGTCTTTCGTCGAGGAAAAAAACAAAAGCAAGCTCACGGGACGAAACTCCGCCGCCATGAGGCGGAACCAATCTAAGGCTCCGGCGGAGCTGTTCTGCCGGGGAAACTTCCCTCCGGGAGGGGGAAATCATCACCATCATCATCACCAACGATCCTCTCATCGGGAGGGGGTCAATCTCCATCAACATCTTCACCGGCACCATCTCATCTCAAACCCTAGTTCATCTCTTGTATCCAATCTTTGTATCCAAACCTCAGATTTGTTCCTGTGGGTTGCTAGTAGTGTTGATTACTCCTTGTAGTTGATGCTAGTTGGTTTACTTGGTGGAAGATCATATGTTCAGATCCATTATGCATATTAATACCCCTCTGATTGTGAACATGAATATGCTTTGTGAGTAGTTACTTTTGTTCCTGAAGACATGGGAGAAGTCTTGCTATAAGTAGTCATGTGAATTTGGTATTCGTTCGATATTTTGATGAGATGTATGTTGTCATTCCTCTAGTGGTGTCATGTGAACATCGACTACATGACACTTCACCATTGTTTGGGCCTAGAGGGAGGCATTGGGAAGTAATAAGTAGATGATGGGTTGCTAGAGTGACAGAAGCTTAAACCCTAGTTTATGCGTTGCTTCGTAAGGGGCTGATTTGGATCCATATGTTTCATGCTATGGTTAGGTTTACCTTAATACTTCTGTTATAGTTGCGGATACTTGCAATAGGGGTTAATCATAAGTGGGATGCTTGTCCAAGTAAGGACAATACCCAACCACCGATCCACCCACATATCAGATTATCAAAGTATCGAACGCGAATCATATGAACGTGATGAAAACTAGCTTGACGATAATTCCCATGTGTCCTCGGGAGTGCTTCCCTTCATATAAGAGTTTTTCCAGGCTTGTCCCTTTCTACAAAAAGGATTGGGCCATCTTGCTGCACCTTATTTACCTTTATTACTTGCTACCCGTTACAAATTACCTTATCAGAAAACTATTTGTTACCGATAATTTCAGTGCTTGCAGAGAATACCTTGCTGAAAACCGCTTATCATTTCCTTATACTCCTCGTTGGGTTCGACACACTCTTACTTATCGAAAAGGCTACGATAGATCCCTACACTTGTGGGTCATCAAGACTCTTTTCTGGCGCCGTTGCCGGGGAGTAAAGCGCCTTTGGTAGGTTGAATTTGGTAAGGAAAAATTTATATAGTGTGCTGAAATTTACTGTCACTTGTTACTTTGGAACATAATCCTTTGAGGGGCTTGTTCGGGGTATCTTCACCCCGACCAGTAGAGAAAAGAGTTTTTCATCAACCTACTGAACCTACTGAAAATGTTTACTTTGAAATTCCTTCGGGTATGATAGAGAAACTGATGGCTAATCCTTTCACAGGTGATGGAACATTACATCCCGATTTGCACCTAATCTATGTGGATGAAGTTTGTGGATTATTTAAGCTTGCAGGTATGCCCAAGGATGTTATCAAGAAGAAGGTCTTCCCTTTATCTTTGAAGGGAGATGCATTGACATGGTTGAGACTATGTGATGATGTTGGATCATGGAACTACCAACGATTAAAATTGGAATTTCATCAGAAGTTTTATCCCATGCTTCTTGTTCATCGTGATCGTAATGATATATATAATTTTTGGCCTCATGAAGGAGAAAACATCGCTCCAGCTTGGGGGAGGCTTAAGTCAATGTTATATTCATGCCCCAATCATGAGCTCTCAAAAGAAATGATTATTCAAAAAATTTATGCTCGACTTTCTCTCAATAATCGCCCCATGCTCGATACTTCTTGTACTGGATCTTTTATAATGAAGACTATTGAATTCAAATGGGATTTATTGAAAAGAATTAAATGCAACTTTGAATATTGGGACCTCGAGGAAGGTAAGGAGTCAGGTATAACACCTAAGTTTGATTGTGTTAAATCTTTTATGGATACTGATGCTTTCCGTGAATTTAGCACTAAATATGGATTTGACTCTGAGATAGTAGCTTCTTTTTGTGAATCTTTTGCTACTCATGTCGATCTCCCTAAGGAGAAGTGGTTTAAATATAATCCTCACATTGAAGTAAAAGTAGTTGCACCCACTAAAGTTGAAGAAAAAGACCATCACTTATAATGATTCTGTTGTTCCTACCGCTTATACTGAGAAACCACCTTTCCCTGTTAGAATAAAGGATCATGCTAAAGCTTCAACCGACAACTCTTGTGTCGCATGTGAAAAATACAAGATTCAACGTTAAAAAGGGCTTCTCACGAGATATTTTTTGTCTTTTTTACACTAGCTACAAAAAAATTGGTTTTGTGTGAAGCTTTGGCTTGCACAAATAGAATATCGAGATATTCGTGTCGAAATTTTGTTTGGATTTTTTTACATTTTGAAATGTTTTTTCTGATGGCTCCCATGTGCCAAAGTGAATTTCCGTTCTAGTCTTCATTTCTCCAAATTATCATATCATATTTATTCTTACCAAAATATTGAATAAGATCAATGCTACCGATGAAATTTATCTATGCATTGCTCTTTTTGGTACATTTGTCTTGTATCATTGTACTAACATTGATAGCTAGTTTATGTAGCATTACTCTCCACTTTAGTTTTCTTATCCTCCATTTATTTCAATAATCTATATCCACTCTTAATAAATTATAAAATAAAGATAATGCTTATGAAAAAAATTGTTGGTGAATTTCTTGAGTTATGCCTCATCGACATGAAGAAGAGATTTAGAGAGCCGGTGATAACTACCAATGTTGGAAACCTGCGATCATATTATTTATTTCAGATATTATTTTTCTCTCATGTACTGCCAAGTTATTATTTATTTATATTATTTCTCTCGTGTACCGCCAAGTTATTATTTCTCTCTAAAACAAAAGTTATTATTCGTCTCTCTTATACTGTCACATTTGGATTCACACTTCTACTGTATGCTGATGTGGCAATAGTCCCAACACCTTGTATACACACGTCTGTAGGCAGTACTGTATCCATTACGTATGCACATATATGAGTACCATATTGGAGCAGTCTACGAGTATCAGGATGGTTGTGTGACAAGCCAGCGACTACGAGGACTAAACATGCAATTTACTAGCGGCGGCCTGGATCATCCAGATCCCGGCAAGGATGACGGCGGCCCGTGCATGAGAGATGGAGGTCTTCAATCAGATCTGGGTGAAAACCTGCTATTGGCTATTGCCAAGGCCGACGATGGTGATGATGTCCACGTCGTTTCCTTCCTGAAGGCATCATCGAGGAGAAGTTCAAGGCCACTCTCTGCTACCTCTGGGGGAAACCCTAGATCAATAGATCGGATGACGGTGGCTTTCTGGTGTCGTTTCCCCCTTGGGGGCGTCATTTTTGGAGGTGCACACGGGCTCGAGGGACTAGAGGACGGCGTCTTTGGTGGAGCGGTGCTTCATTTTACACATCAATGGTGGCGGATCTCAGCGGCGTGGCGCTGTGGAGATTCGACGTCTGATGCGCGGAGATGGACTCGCGCAGGAGGAGGAAGCTGTCTGGCATCATGGTGGCGTTGATGGCAGAGAGGCCTGGCAATGTCGGTGCTTCAGTTCTGCTCTGGGGATGGACCGAGGGATGATGAAGGTGACGACCCTTGCAGCGTGCGGTGCTCACAGGAGTGTGCCAGATCGGTGTGGGACCCAATCCAGGTAGTGGCTTGGATGGGACACCCGGCTTTAGATGTTAGACTTTGGTGCGATGTTTGTTTGGTATTAGGCCCGGATATTCAGCACACCTTCATCAAGAGGATAGGAGTAGCAACTGTGTTGTCAAGATGATGGCTTCAGGCTTATTGATGTATCACCTTATATGGTCTTTGTGAATAATTAATAATATGGCTGCATGCATAGTTCAGATGCAGAGGTTAGGGGTACATCCTTCTTTTTAAAAAAAACTCGAAACGAGAGTACTGTACTTGTTTTGTGAAAAGTATAACCGGGAAGGGTCTGAAATCTACCAACAAGCCTGAAGGCACAAGTGCTGTCAAAAAAAAAACGAGGAGAGGAGAAGTGGGGAGTGCCGAAACTCATCGGCGTCCCTTCCACACCCTGGGTCCTCAGGCGGCGGCGGCGGAATGGCGGTGCCGGCCTGGATGCGGAGGCAGATGGACCAGATCCTCGAGCTGGACATGGAGGAGCTCGAGGTCGAAGAGGTCGACGACTCCGGCTCCTCCTCCTCCTCCGACGTCGCCACCTTCCTCAGGTCCAGCACGCCCATCCGTCGCCCCAATTTTACCATTTCCTCGTGATTACCATCCCACGCCCATCTCTGGGGTGTGCCTTCTGCCCTTCTCACCACTCTGAACTCGGAGGCGGTGGAAATTGGGGTCGGGGAAGGTTTTCGAGCTCGAAATTGATAGTAGAAACTGCTGCCGAGATGGTCGGTAGCAATGGCGCTCATAGGTTTCGATTGCTCCGAATCTATTTGGTTTAAGGTGATTTGGCACCCAAAACTCGTAACATTCTTGGTATACATCAATTCAGGAGTCAAGGTTAAATAGTGGTATTCCCCTTTGGGGGTGAATGGACGATCTGACGGTAGGAAGACTGACGAAGTAGTTTATATGGTGTTCACAATTTCTCACACTTGCAGCGATTCCTTCTGATGATTAGATGCGCCTTCTCCCCTTCGTACACCATTTGGGGGTTTGGTTTGAGCAATGGCTTGCAGCCCTCATGATTTTGCTTGTTCCGGGAATGGATTGAATTGGGCATCAGCACACCATCTGTTATAAGCTGCTAGTTTGAAGATGATGAATGGGGCCATCTCACTGAAATCACCGGATGATCCCATCTACGATGAATTGACCTGTCCTAGAACGTGGTGATTTTTTCAAACCAATTACACCATGCGCTATTAGTCCACTGAAATGTACCAATTCTCTGATTAATTGTTTAACTATTTTTTTATCAGTTAGTTCCATTGATGTTTATGAGGACATTACTCTGATCCTTTTCCTCATTCTTCTATCACAGAAATACTCATGGAGATGGAGAGACTAGCACTTCTGGAGAGTTTACAGTCAATATGTCTCGGGCTTCCCTGAACACATATGTTGGTGGTAAATATTAGTGCTGATCTTAGCATGTTGTATCATGCCAGCTGCATAGTTTTGAAGTCTGTTTATATGACAGAGATTGATGATACCCGGGGCAGATTTGCTTTCTTGGATGGTGGTGCACTCCTCAGTTTACCTATGCTTTCTCTTCAAGGTAGCATTCCTACTGACTCTTCATTCTAATATACCAGGACATGGGAGCTTATCTCAAATTGATCTGACTACACCGTCAATACATATTTAGGTGTTTCTCTTTATCAATAGCTGATCTATTTGTGCTTAACATTAACTGCATAACTTAATAAAATTATCTCATCTGTTATAGTTTGTCAATTCCATGGAAATGAAATTGGGAGCAAAAGCTCTTCAATTATCAATTAGAGAATAAAAAAATCATCTATTCTGAACGGACGAAGTACAATTGAGGTTCAATACACATCTGTGTCATCCTTCTGTTTGTCGCTTACAAAGCCATGCCTTAATGGCTGGCATTTACAGCGTAGCAATTTTATTCAATTTTATGGCATACTTTTGCAGGATTTGTTTTGTTTCCTGAAGCTACCCTGACTCTTAGAGTAACTCAACCTAGATTTGCAGTAGCTGTTGACAAGGCTATTAACCATGTTGATAATCCATGCATGATAGGTGTGGTGAGTGCTACTTGCTGTTCTTCTGCCGTGTCTTATTATAGTTTTATTTTCTGACAGTTCTCCAACTTTAGGTTCATGTCTACCGACACGTAAATGATGGGCATCATGCTATTGCTTCAGTTGGCACAACAGCGGAGGTGTTGCTTCTTTTTCCACAGATCCTTTCCGTCTTAAATCGTATATGTTGTATTGTGGTTTGGTAATTCATCTGTTATTTGTTTATCTTTTGTTTACATATTATCAGTTCATCAAACGTATGTTTTTATTTTTGGTGTATTTCGTTGGTTGAACTATTTTTCTAGAAACACCCAGCTAATGCCAAGGCTAAGACGTTGCATCTGTGGATGCCCATACGTCCCCTGTCACCTGATTGATATACATCAAGGGAAATGATGATGTCATAGGACACATCCATTCATTAGTCATCATTACTAGATAGTGCACATGGTATACACTTGCCGAGTTGATGCTTGCAAATATCTTAATGGAGCAACCTGTCACTATCATGTTTCAATCTAATTTATGGGTTTGTATGTTAATCAACAGAACATAATCAAGCACAAGTATGCACTACATATATCGTTCGTATATTAGGCCTCTTCCAATGCACAGGTGCTTAGTTGGGGTGCTAGATGCATTAAAGCGTTTAGGAACTAAAGTCCCCAATGCATAGGTGCTTAGTTTGTTGTTGCTTAGCTTCCTTCCTTTAATTGTTCAACAACTAAACTCTTCCATGCACAGGGCAAACTTCTTTCATTTAAGTGTTTTGCATAGGTCCACACGCTTGGCATTGGTTCTTCCTGGGGTCACCAAACTCCTCTCTCTCCTCTTAAATACTTTGCCACATCAGATTTTTTGCCTATGTGGCATGCTTAGCACCTGTACAACATGGAGCACTGGGAAGGGCCTTAATGTGAATGCGTGTTCTATGTCTTGTATTATCCTAAACTTTCAAGGAAGACAAGTGTACTATGATATGCTATCTGTTGCTGGAGTCTCTTTTTTCATCCTCAAACCATTGTTCTTCATCTGCACTGTGATAAGTTCTCAGTAATAAGGTCTTGTGCTTTTATTTGATAACATAGATACTTGAAATTAGGCGATTGGATGATGGCTCGACAAATGTTATCACTCGAGGTCAGCAGCGGTTTCGCCTTAGGCGCAGTTGGGTCGACATCGATGAAGTAGTAAGTTTTGACATTTAGTTGAGAACCCTGCAGTTCTCTAATGCTATGAGCCAGAGCCATGAGGGTGCAACTTCCTTCCTTCCTTATTTATTTATTTACTTGACAGCCATGGGGTGAGATCCAAATCATTGAAGAAGACATGCCTTTAAGAACTCCAAGGGATGCATTTGGACAGTTAGCTGCAAGTAATACCTTCAAGCAATGTGATTCATCAGTGCACAGTTTTGGTGTATCTTGTTTCAAGCAAAAAGATCTTATGGATTCTGATCTTGATTTGGATTCTCTGTCATGCACTAGTACTTCAAGTGACCATTCAGTAACAGATACAGGAATATACTATTCCTCAAATGAAGATGAATATCTCATGCCTGAACTGTCTTGGCAGAAGCATGGTTCTGTGAATGAATTTGGTGCATTAAGTCAGCCAGTCAAGGATACCACCATCGGAGATGATGATGATCTTTGCTTTGCATCCCCTGAATCCTTATCAACAGTGAGAGAGAAAGATGCTGGACAACAGAGACAATACCGTGCTGCTTATAATTCAAAGATGGCTCCATTATCATTTTGGCCCCGATGGGTTTACAATATGTACGATTCATCTTCACTTGCACGCAAGGCTGCAGGTACGAGTTATTTCACCTCTTCTTTGTCGTCATGTAGCAAACCTTGTCCTTATTGTTGTATGTTAATTTATTTTTAATCAGATAATATTCCTTCCATTTCTGTCAGTATGTTAAGCTGTGATTAGACAGTACCGTGCTGTATGCATGACCTTAGCTGTGATTAAACCTTCATGGCAGATTTGTGGAATCAGATAATTGCAGAGCCAGGCATGGATGATTATGTGAGAAAACCAGATATTTTGTCGTTTCTTATTGGAAGCAAACTACCCGTGTCAGCGTCTGTGAGACAGGAATTGCTTGACATTGATGGAGTATCATATCGGTTGCAGCGAGAGATTCAGCTACTCAAGGCCTTCAATCTCGTACGATGTAGAAATTGCCTGGTAAATGATTTATTATTTTGAAACTGTTATTTAACTGAAGTTCCTCATATTTCAGGTTCTTTTCCCACTTCTACCTGATGTCCCAATCTTCATTACTTCAGTTCTGTTTACGTGGTTTCTTAGTATTAGCTGCTCCGGTCCTGCTTACGCTTGGTTTGTTACTTGATTTGCCTGTATCTGGTCTGCAGTTGCAACCACAATACTAGTATTTGGTATGCTGCAGCATGCCACAGCTGTGACATAAAACCAAATTACTTCATGTAGGATACTTCAACAACATTGCCACCAAAATTTCTCGCAGAGGAGGTCTAGATAAAACGAGCTGCAGTTTAATAAGTTCTGCATGTTTTGGGGGTTCATTCAGTGCTTCAGTTCGCCTTGAAAATACCAGGAAACAGTTCTGAACCTGTGTTTCTCTACCTCTGAATAGCTAAAACTCACTAGAGATTTTCGCGAGTATATTTGCAGTAAGAAAACAGCAGGTGATTTACCTACTGCAGATGTATTAAAGAGAGACACTTATGTGCAACCTTCTTTATTACGTAAAGCTGGCTATGAAGTTGAGCAAAAGGCACAACTAAATTTGAAAGAGAGAAAAATATATTCAAGGTTGAACTTTTAACTGATACGACAGGTTGAATTCTTGTTGTAGGCTCTCATAGCTAGACGGAGTGACATGGTGATACCGTCTAGTGTTGACCAATGTGGTCCTCATGTCATGCCGTTGTTGTACAAAGGTGCGCAGGAGGTGATAACAGTGCACAACACGTCTGGGCTCGCACTCCATGGCAATCCTTCTGATGCTCACAGCTGGTTCCCAGGGTATGATCCCTACCCCTCTAACATGTCATCCGTTTTCAGTTTCATAGCTTGAACTGGAAAACAGAGCGACCTCTGTGAATTCTACTCCCTTCGTCCCAAAATAAGTGTCATAGTTTTAGTTCAAATTTGGACTTGTTTAAACTAAAACCACGACACTTATTTTGGAACGGAGAGAGTACTTCTGTAATTGCACACTCTTTGTAACGCTGACACCCAGAGGAATCCTGCAGATATACGTGGACGATTGCGCTGTGTGCTGCCTGCGAGTCCAACATCGGCTGGCTGTTCAGGGCTGACAAAAGGAACCTTCTTCCGAAATCCTTCTGGGGTGTCCGCATTTCCCAAACTAAAGATGGCACACAATCGGCCAAGGACCGATCGTCCGTATGAGGTTGTGGTCGTGGTTCTCAGCATGATTCTCCTTATCTTTCAGCTGACCCAGTAACCTATCTTCGCCCGTGTAAGGCTGTGGTCAGCGCGATTATCCTCATATTTCAGCAGACCCAGTAACCTATCTTCGCCTTCCCGGAACTGCGCAACAAAGGGTCCCTTGTGCAATATCAATGTCTGCTCGTTTGAGACCACGCTGGATGTGGCCTGCGATTTTGTCTAGAATTCTTGCTCAAGATCAGACTTTGTTCAGTACACATGCTGAATGTGGTTCGATTTCATCTAGAATTCAAATTCCAGGTCGACTTTGTTCAGACGGGTACGTGGCTTACTTTACGTTGGTGTAGTTGTCTTCCTCCTTTTGAGCCCAACGTAAAAAGCTTGCACAAGACACCTTTATGATCAACAGATAGTTCCCCATAAAATGGTACTGTATTCGTCATACGATCACATCAAAAGTAAAGGATGCCACTATGATCATACACAACATGTCCGCAACTTTATTACGCGATTACATAGACCTAATACCTGGGTGTCGGCCTGCCATTATAAAGTTCATTTAAGAGTGCATAATATGATAACAAAGGAAATACGACTAAACAAGCATACATACAAAATTACAGTCTAGGTTCGACGGAACATTATTCATGGTCAGAGTATGAGGTGCCATGGCTTCATCTGTATGAACGGTAGATGGGGCTGTACATGCAGCTCTCAGCGTACTTCACCAAGTCTTTTGGGCGAGGGAGATGGCTTGCCAGTCCTGCTCGTACAGACAAGCATACGGGTTTGGTGATCGTGTCTTTCTAGTGCTATTAAAGAGAAAGAGAGCTACAGGTCTAGGAAAGAAGATTTTACCGAGGTCGTAGGCTTTTGCAGCGACTCGAGCCGCGATGTTAGTTGATATCTTCCTGATGCTGGAGAAGGGTGGATAGATCAGGCCTTTGTCGAAATGCTCCGCCGTGACCTGTTCAGCTAAGGCCTCAGCTGCCCAACACCAAAGATGAAACAAATAATCATCCAGGCTTAGAGCAGTTCAACAGAGTAGCACAGTACCATTGATTTGGAACAACACTTTGGTTCTTGTAGAATTATTACCAGCAGCAAGGACCATATCGTCTTTCACCCTTATCGCCCCGGAGATCACTACACCTAAACCAAATCCTGGGAAGATGTATGCATTGTTCGCCTGATGTTTCCACAATGGAGATGAGTAACTTCACACTATCAGAACACACAAAGCACAAAAAGCATCCACAGATAATACACGCAAACACGGGTGATTTCCAACCTGTGCGGGTATGAAAAGCTTCTCATTATATTTCACCGGATCAAATGGGCTTCCACTCCCGAATATTGCACGGCCCTACACATACACACACGATATGATAGGCGTATGTGGTTTTCAGTGAGATGTAGCATCATGCATCTGACCAAAACTTTGATTTATCACTGATGGCATAAGGGTTATCATTAATGGAATACCACCTGACTCCATGAATATGCCTGCTCAGCTGTACATTCAGATTTCGATGTTGGGTTGGATAGCGCAAGGATGATTGGTCTCTGCATTTGATAGGAACTAGCTCTCAGTCATTGTGGGTAATGAAATAATTACAAAGGCAGGTTGACAATGAGTAGTTCTCTGGTGACAATTATCAATATTGTTAGTTCTACCTTGTTAATCGAAGACATAGCCTCGATCACCTCTTTTGTGAAACTTTGACCCACACCGGCTGATCCTATTAGTGCGGTCGGTTTGATATCCTAAAAAAAAATGGAAATCAGTGTGCTGCTTGGTAAAAATAAGGTGTTTACTGGAACTGTGGAACACTATTTTTTTTTTGAAGAGAACTGTGGAACACTATGTGCGCAACGGTTGTATGTGCGCCCCTAAAGTAGAGTTCTAGTTTTGCACCTTGATGGCACTTAAAAGGTCTTTGACTGGTTCATGCTCATGTGCATATAGCTTCTTGAAGGGCTGTATAGAATCTTTACGCGAACTCACGATCAATCCCTGCAAACACAACG